TTATTATTATTATTATTATTATTATTATTATTATTATTATTATTATTATTATTACTGTTTAACCGTTGCGCGTAGTTTGATTTTGTTATCTAAGTGGTGTGCAACAAATGTCCAACGTTATACTTATCATAATTACAGTAAGAGTTCTGACAGAGATTTGTTTTCCTTCCAACAGTTGTTAACCAAAATCTACGATGCCTTACGAGTTATCAATCTTGGATTTCCTAATTACTGTCTGGGGCATGGCCTTATGGATCTGGCTTACAACCAGTATCTCACAGAATACTACACACAGATAGGTAATATAACCATTTGTTATGTACGAGAGATGATTTGACGGTACTGCGAATTAAAAATACAAAAACAAGAAAGAAAGAATAAATAAATAATAATAAATTAATATTTTAAGAGGAAGCCTCCAATCACCTAGAGGTGGTTATATATTCAAAGTCTAAAATACAGTATAGTGATAAAAGCTGAAAACTTAGGACTACAGATAAGGTTTAAAGATAGGACAAGAAATGTCATAGGTCACAAACGCTAAACTACGTGCCTTCGGTGTGAAGAAGGCACAAGAAACCATTCGGGCAGTGCTCTTGCTTGTTTACAGTTTATACGTTTGAAACTCATCAGGCTCATCCGTTAACCGGCCCCCAATGTTCTCGTTTTCATCCGGTTCAAGTTGTGAATCTCTGTCTGTCTGCTGGGGTAATAAAGTTGTTGTCTGTTTGTAGGTGAATACGAAAAGATTCGAGATCCATTTGAATGGATGCTCACTACTCGTAACTTGGTGTGCATGGCAGTGGAGGGAGTTGTGTTCTTTATTCTCACCGTCCTGATAGAGTTCAGATTCTTTATTAAGCGGAGGTAAGTAAGAGGCTTTCAGCATTGCAAAAAATCATTAATTTTCCAAAGCTGCCAAAATGATGTAACCAAAATGACGTAACTGAATGTTTGATTACGTGTTAACGTCAGGTCAGGAGAAAGTCAGAATTTTTTTTTTTAAGTCAGGGAAATTCCAAATTTCTTGTCAACGTCCAGAGTTTGGTAGTGAGCATTATTTATAACGAATCGTTTATCATGATCAATGAAAAGTATTTTGTTTCAAATAGATTAAAGCAAATTAGAGTGCAAATTGGTTACCTATCAAATGATCAACCTTACCATGGTCCATGAAAATTGTTTCTGGTCCATGCAAAGCTAGAAAATTTCTGTTTACTTCATGGTTGTTACACAAGTCTTCTTCCATTCCGTCGTAAGTCGGTAACACAATGATGTGGATGTTATAGCGGAGCTCCGGCGGCCCGAAGGGCCGCCAAGCGGAGCCCCATACTCATATGGGAAAGAAAAGGAAACCCATGAGTTGATTTTCTCATGGTT